TCTCTCTGCCCCTCTCCACAAATGCACTCTCTATATATATCCCTGAAAAATAAATAAATAAAAATTTTTAAAGATGAAATAAGTGTTAGGGAAGATGTAGAGCAAAGGGAACCTCTGCATTTTTTATGAAAATGTAAACTAATGCAAATTTCATCAAAAAAATAAAAATAGAACTACCATATGACCCAGCAATCCCAGTTCTGGGTATTTATCCAAAGGAAAGGAAAGCAATAACTGGAAAAGATATTTACACTCCCATGTTCATTGTGCATTATTTATAATAGCAAGGATATGGAAGAAACCTAAGTGTCCAGTGATGGATGAATAAAGAAATGTGCTTTTATATGCACACACAATGGAATATTATTCAGCCATAAAAAGAAGGAAACCTTGGTATTTATGACAAAATAAATGGACCTTGATGGCATTTGGCTAAGTGAAATAAGTCAAATAGCGTATGATTTCACTTATGTGGAATCTAAAAACAAACAAGCAAAAATCCCTGAAGCTCCTGGATGCAGAGAACAGAGTGGTGATTGCCAAAGCAGAGGCGGAGATTAGGGGATGGGCAACATGGGGGGAGGGGTTCAAAAGGTACAAACTTCCAGTTATAAAATAAATCAGTCATAGATAAAGTGAACAGCATGGTTACTATAGTTAACAATGCCGTATTGTATATTTGAAAGTTGCTAAAAGTGTAAAATTTAAAAGTTCTCATCCCAAGAAAAAAATCTGTGACTGTGTGGTTTGGGATGTTAGCCATACTTATTGTGGTGATTATTTCACAATATATACAAATATTGAACCATTGTGTTGTACACCTGAAACAAATACAATGTTATGTCAATTATATCTGAATGAAAAACATATGGACACAGTAAAAATATTAGTGGCTGCCAGGGGTTGAGAGGGGAGGAGGAAAGAATAGATGGACAGATGGACCATGGAGGATTTTTATGGCAGTGAAAATACTCTGTGTGATACTATAATACTGAATGCATGTCATTATACATTTGTCCAAGCCCATAGAATATACAACACCGAGGGTGAATCTGAATATAAATTATGACCTTGGGTGAATATAATGTATTGATGTAGGTTCATCAATTGTAATAAATTCACCACTCTGGTTCTGGATGGTAACAGTGGCATAGGCTGTGCCTCTGTAGGGGCAGGGGATATATGGCAAATCTCTGTGCCTTTCAATTTTGCTATGAACCTAAAACTACTCTAAAATATAAAGTGTTTAACAATATTTTAAAAAAACAAAACAGATGGTGGCTTGGACTTGTAAGCCATAGTTTGACAACTCATGGTCTAAGACAAACCGGTTTGTGATAAAACTAAACGGGTAAAATGGTGGGTGTGTGCGTGCACGCGCTCACACACGCAACAACAAAATGAGAGGTTTCCAAGTCCCTTTGGATATTTACCAATTCAATAATAGCTGTTGAAGATGCAGTAAGTTTTCATTACTTTCGGTTGAGTACTTACATGAGAGTATGATTGAGTTTACACTAAGGCCTCAGTATTATTTTCTTGCTTCCCCAGGTGATTTCAAGGCGCAGCCAGGTTTGACAACCAGGATTAAGAGTACCACTCAAAATTCAGTGTGCATATTGATCACCTGGGTTCCTGATGAAAGGTAGATTCTGATTGAGTAGGTCTGGCGTAGGGCTTATTACGATTTCATTTCTAATCAGTTCTCAGGTGAGGCTGATGCTCTTGGATCACAACGCGTTTTGAGTGGCAAGATGCTCGTACTGCTTTTAATTGCCTGGCATGTTTAGGTCCTGCCCAAGAGATTGATGTATTTGGTCTGGGATGGGTCTGAGGCATTCAGAGTTTTTAAAGCTCTGCAGGTGATACTAATGTACAGCAAAACTTGAGAACGTCCATGGCGAAGTGCATGGAGATTTTATCAATTTTAATTATTTTATCAGTAGCGCTGAGGTGGTCTCCTCTTCCCATCCCCTTTCTCCCTGACTCATTCCACTCCACTTCAGGTCCAAACATCTAGATCAGGACCAGCACTTCACCCTTTCTTTACCATTTCTGAAGACTGGAATGTTGGATTAATTGGAAAGAGGAGGCTCAGGCAACCTGGGTTTGGGAAGAATGAGCAAAAAAAAAAAAATGTTCTAGGGGGTGATTTAAGGGGAAGGCTGATTGAAACAGCAACCCCCGCTCTAGGCTTGGGCCTGAGTTTGGGGCAGTGAAAACAGTGATCTACCCTCCTGACTCCTGGCAGCACCTGACAGCCAAGCAGCTACCAAGGATTTTTCCTTCTCCATAGGCAGTGACACAGTTGGTTGAAATGCAAGAGCGACCCCCAGTGGCAAAGTACAGATGTGAAATCTTCTCCCCAAAGGAACACCACCAAGAATTTAGAAGTGAATGAAGGTGGTGGTGATAAATGATGGCTTAGGTGTACTCTGTGTGCTGTTGGAAACATTCAAAATATTCACTCATTCAGTCTCCTTAGCAACCAGTGGGGTCAATGCTTTTATTAGCCCTCTTTTACATAGGAGGAAGCAGAGGCACAGAAAAGTTAAATTACATACCCAGATTCACCCCGTTTAGTAAGTGGCTAAGCTGGGATGTGAACCCAGGGAGTGTGAGGGTAAGAAAGCACTATACCAACTGCTTCTCCAAAACAGGAAAGGAGGAAAGATCCCAGTCAATTTCCAGTTTTTAAACACTCATGTATCGATGCTCACCCTGTGCTTCCTCGTATCTAGAGAAGTCACTTGACATCTATACATATGAGATAAAATCAGAGAAGAGAGGTTGTCAAAGCAGGCAGAGAAAGTGAAAGGATCGAGTGTGACCAATAAAAGGAAAGGGGCAAGAGCATTTTCTGGAAACTTAATCAAAGGGATATAATCCTCATTTTAAAGAAAATATTAAAGTAGTCATGGTGAAATGTGAAGGGATATTATGATGTAGCTAAGCTTGTTCTTATTTTAGTAAATGTTCAAGGAAATCTGCAAACTGTAAGGAGACCGTGTGTCCTTGATAAGGCATGCCAGTCTAAATTCTAACCTTTATTTTTGTAACCAACCTGGTACAGAAGAAGAATGTTCTGAGTATTGTTCCTGGGCAGGGACAACCTTAGGGTTTACATGGGTACAGATGTCATTTGGTCAAATTCCATGGACAGGGGCGCCTGGGTGGCTCAGTCGGTTAAGCGTCCGACTTCAGCTCAGGTCATGATCTCACGGTTTGTGGGTTCGAGCCCCGCGTCGGGCTCTGTGCTGACAGCTCAAAGCCTGGAGCCTGTTTCAGATTCTGTGTCTCCCTCTCTCTCTGTGGCCCTCCCCTGCTTCTGCTGTCTCTCTCTCTCTCTCAGGAATAAATAAAATACATTAAAAAATTTTTTTAAATCCATGGACAGAGAGGGAGGCTGAATTTTTAAAGGGAAAGCAGAAAAAAATCCATACAGAAGTGGCACGGGGCTGGCTGTGCCACACTCTGTACCCCCTGTTTCTGGTGAGCTTGTCCAGTCCCGTGGCCTCAACACCATCGGTAGCTGATGTTGCTCCTATGTGTGTTTCCAAACCTGACATCCCACCTGAGCTCCAGATTCAGTTTTCTGACCACCTGCATGACAGTTCCACTTGCATATCTAACAGGCATCTCAGCTTTTACATGACATGCGTTTCCCACCCCGCATGCCCCCCGGCAAACATTCTCAAATTAATAAATAGCATTACCGTCAAGTCAAGTGTTCAGGTACCAACACCAGAACCTAGATTATTTTCCTCATTTCTCATTCTTCATCTCTGGTGTGAAAACACATCTTGTTGATTCATCCAAATCCAACTAGAATTTGTCCATGTCGCTTCATTTCCTCAGCCACCACCTGAGTTTAAGCCACCAATGTCTCTTATCGGACCAGCTACAAATACCTCCCGACTGGCCTCCCAGGTTCAACTCTCCCCAACCCTCTGCATTCTTCAAATCGGCCAGACTCACTGGCTTAACATTTGGGGGGATTTATTCTTCATATTCAGTATCACAAATTTGACCTTCAGCCTTGCCCTTGTATTTTTTCACCATGCTAGTGAAATAATTTGGGGTTATGGATACTGCTCTTATTTTAGTGGAAGAAGGTACAATCGAAGGAGATATTTGGATATTTTGTAAGGGCAATATGTATGTCCAGCATGGTGACCTAGGGAGTCACTCCCCTGTATATGGGAAACCAGCCTAACACTCAGTTCAATTATCACTGTTGCCCTGGGTAGCTTATCAAAGAAATATTCTGCCATTTTTGCTTCCAGGACCCCCATGTTGCTACCTAGAAGCAACAGTCAGTAATATTCGCATATTTTAGTAAACTAAATGTTTTCAAGTAAAGTTGAAAACTCCGTTTAATACCAGTCTAATGCCATTCTTCAGTTCTTTCTTAGGGACAACCTCTATGGTGAATTCTAGACCATGTTCTTTAATACTTTTACCATATATATGTACCCACTGACGCCAGGGCCCCAGACCAGCCACCTCACCTCACCCCATCCCACTCCACTCCCCACCTCACCCCATCCATACCATCCCACCCCACCCCCCACCTCACCCCTTCCCACCCCACCTCACCCCTTCCCACCCCACCCCCCACCTCACCCCTTCCCACCACACCCCCACCTCACCCCTTTCTACCACACCCCACCAGATCCCACCCCTCACCTCGCCCCATCCCACCCCCACCTCACCCTATCCTACCCCCAACCTCATGCCTTCCCGCCCTACCCACCCCACCCGACCCAACCCCCCCCATTCCCATACTGTTAATAAAGATTGCTTTGTGTTTTCCAGGGTTCCATGGAATACTTTCTCCCTCCCTCTTCAGAGATCCTAAGCTGCATAGGGATGGGGTTGGGTGGGTGGAGAGACTCCTGAATATCTGTTTTAAACGTAAAAGGTGTGAGATTTGCACACGAATCAACAAGAGACCTTTATTTATTTAGAACTAAATAACTTTATTGAAACCAAATAACTTCACTTCTTTATGGCAAAACTGGAAGAAAACTGGAACGTTCTGCAAAGGCACTACTGCAAACTGCATGCTCGGCATGGTGACCAGGGGAAGTCACCGTGCACCCTGTGCCTATGGGGAAACAGTCCCAACTCAGTTCTTGTCGCTGTTGCCCAGGCTGAGCTTGTCAAATAGGGAGTCTGCCAAGCTGATTTCCAGGGTCCCCATCTTGCACAGGTTGGTCACGTAGTCGCTCAGCTTGCTGATGGCCTTGACTTGCTCGTGCAGGTAGTTGCTCTCCAGGAAACTACACAGGTGGGCGTCCTTCTTGAGGGTGGCCAGCTGGTGCAGGTCGAGCAGGCTCTGGTTCATGGCCTTCTCCAGGTGAAAGGCGTACTCCATGGCATTCAGGCCGCTCTCCCAGTCGTCGCGGTCAGGCTTCCTGATGTCGTGGAAGCGGATGCGACCCCCGCGCTGGTTCTGGAGCTCCATCAGCTTCTGGGCTTGCTCCTTCTTCTCGTGGGACTGGCGCAGGAAGAACTCAGCGAAGTTCTCCAGAGCCACGTCCTCACGCTTGAAATAGAAAGCCATCGACAGGTACACGTAGGAGGCATGGAGCTCTAGGTTGATCAGGTTGTTGACTGCGGACTCGCACTGGGGGTGGTAGTTCTGGTGCACTTGAGAGAACAGCGCGGTGGCCATGGCTGGCGGCGCTGGCTGCAGGTCTTCTGCGAGTCTTCAGGGTTGGCGATGACCAGTCGGGACCTCGTAGCGCTGTCAGAGTGGAAAGGAGGGCGCCCTTGAGTGGGTGCTGGGGTCAGGCAGCAGCTCTGTGTTGAGATTGGAAATGAGGTCAGTTACACGGTAGGGGGGGAGATCTGTTCCCTGTCTGGCATTGGGGGGGGGTGGAGAAGGAGAAGCTGGAAAGGCCGGCGGGGCCTGAGGGCTGTGTTCTAGGTTCCATTAGAGCCTGGGTGGGCAGGGTGACTTTGCATTGAGCACCTAACATCTATTCAATTTTTAATTTTGCGACAGTATTTCTATTTTCCAAGGACTGTCTCTTGTTCTCTGATTACTCCCTTTTATAGCACCCTGTTCTCATTTTAAAACCACACTGTCCTCCTTAAAATTCTAAAAACAAAAATTTGGATTTTTGGATAAAGTTCTCTCTTTCCTGTCATTTATATATCTATAATTGTATAGTTTATTATGATTTTCACTTTCCTGGAATACTTAAAACTTTGTGCATTGGTATTTAGTAATAAGGCACACATTGTATGATTAAGCTAGGTAAGTAATATAGATCCAGCCTTCAGTTGTGAAGTTCATTTCATTAATAGGCTTTTCATCTGAATGGAGAGGAGAGTGCGTCACTTAAGGAGTGGTATTCTGTCTTTGGGATATATGCGTTGGGGTTTGTTTGAGGTAGCATAGGGACCATCCCAAATGCCAAAAGCTTACCATTTTTTTCTTCTTTTTCAAATTATTTAAATTTCAGTTAGTTAACATGCAGTGTTATATTAGTTACAGGTGTAGGATTTAGTGATCTATCACTTACGGACAACACTCAGTGCTCATCACTAGTGCCCACCCCCCGCACCTCCCTTTCAGTAACCCTCAGTTTGTTCTCTAAACTTTGTCCCTCTTTTTCCCTTTTTCCCGTATGTTTGCTGTTTCTTAAATTCCGCATATGAGTAAGATCATATGGTATATGTCGTTCTCTGATTTTGCTTAGCATAATGTCCTCTAGCTCTGTCCACGTCATTGCAAATGGCAAGATTTCATTCCTTTTTATGGCTGAATAATATTTCATCATGTGTGTGGATGAGTGTGTATATATAAACATATATATATACCACATCTTCTTTACCCATTCATTAGTCGATGGACATTTGGGCTCTTTCCATAATTTGGCCCTTGTTGATAATGCTGCTATAACATCAGGGCACGTGTATCCCTTGGAATCAGTGTTTTTGTACCCTTTAGGTAAATACCCAGCAGTGCAATTGATGGATTGTAGGGTAGTACTGTTTTAAAAGTTAAAAACAGTACTAGCTTTTTGAGGAAACTCCGTACTGTTTTCCAGAGTGGCTGCACCGTTTTTGCCTTCCCACCAACAGCTGAAGAAGGTTTCTTTTTCTCCACATCCTTGCCAATATTTGTTGTTTCTTGTTTTTTCGATTTTAGTCATTCTGACACATGTGAAGTGATCTCATTGTGGTTTTGATTTGCATTTCAGTAATGATTAGTGATGTTGAGCATCTTTCCATGTGTCTTTTGGCCATCTGGATGTCTTCTTTGGATAAATGTCTATTCATGCTTTCTGCCCATTTTTTTTAATTGTCTTGTTTTTTGGATGTTGAGTTGTATCAGTATTTTATATATTTTGGATACTAACACTTTATTGCATCTGTCATTTGCGACTATCTTCTCCCACCGAATAGGTTGCCTTTTCATTTTGTTGATTGTTTCCTTCACTATGCAGAAGCTTTTTGCCTTGATGAGGTCCCAGTAGTTCATTTTTGCTTTTGTTTCCTTTGCCTCAGGACCCACATCTCGTAAGTAGTTGCCACGGCTAATGTCAAAGAAGTTACTGCCTGTGTTCTTCTCTAGGATTTTACTGGTTTTCCATCTCACATTTAGGTATTTAATCCATTGTGAATTTATTTTTGTGTATGGTGTAAGAAAGTGGTCCAGTTTCATTCTTTGTTTAATAAAATTTTTTTTAATGTTTATTTTTTGAGGTAGAGACAGAGTGTGAGCAGGGGAGGGATAGAGAGAGAGGGAAACACAGAATTCGAAGCAGTCTCCAGGCTCTGAGCTGTCAGCAAAGGGCCAGATGCGGGGCTTGACCTTATGAACCATGAGATCATCCTGAGATGAAGCCGGACATGTAACCAGCTGAGCCACCCAGGTGCCCCCAGTTTCATTGTTTTACATGTTGCTGTCTAGTTTTCCCAGTACCATTTGTTGAAGAGAATGTCTGTTTTCCATTGGATATTCTTTACTGCTTTGTCGAGGATTAGTTGACCATATAGTTGTGGGTCCATTTCTGGGTTTTCTGTTCCATTGACCTCTGTGTCAGTTTCTGTGCCAATACCATACTGTCTTGATCGCTACATCTTTGTAATATAACTTGAAGTCTGGAATTAAGATGCCTAAAGCTTTGCTTTGCTTTTTCAAGATTACTTTTGTGGTTCCATACAAATTTTAGGATTGTTTGTTCAAGCTCTGCAAAAAATGCTATTGATATTGGGACAGGGATTGCATTAAATGTGTAGGTTGCTTTGGGTGGTATAGACATTTTAACGATCTTTGTTCTTCCAATCCTTGAGCATGGAACATTTTTTCATTTCTTTGTATCATCTTCAGTCTCTTTCATAAATGTTTTATAGTTTTCAGAGTACAGATCTTTTATCTTCTTTTAAAAAGTTTTATTTATTTAGAGAGAAACAGAGAATGCAAGTGTGGAAGGGGCAGAGAGAGAGAGAAAGAGACAGAATCCCAGGCAGGCTCCGTACTCTCAGCACAGAGCCCAGTGCAAGGCTCGAACTGATGAACCATGCGTGACCTAAGGCAAAACCAAGAGTCAGATGCTTAACTGACTGAGCCACCCAGGTACCCCAGATCTTTTACCTCTTTGCTTAGGTTTATTTCTAGATGTCTCAGGATTTTTGGTGCAGTTGTAAATAGCATTGATTCTTTGATTTCCTTTTTTGCTGCTTCATTGTTAGTGTATAGAAATGCAACACATTTCTGTACATTGATTTTTGTATCCTGTGAGTTAAGGGAGTTCGTGTATCTCTTCTAGCAATTTTTTGGTGGAGTCTTTTGATCTTTCTGTGTAGAGTATCATGTCATCTGCAAATAGTGAAAGTTTGACTTCTTTTTTGCTGACTTAGATGCCTTTTATTTCTTTTTATTGTCTGATTGCTGAGGCTAAGACTTCAGTAGTATGTTAAATAACAGTCATGAGAGTAGACAATCCTGACTGTAGGGGAAAAGCTCTTAATTTTTCCCCATTGAGGGTGTTTTTAAATGTGAGTTTTTTAAAATATAAGCTTGCCATTTTTCTGACACTGGAAGGCTTCGTTCAGTGCATTTCTCTTCGGGTAAATGAGTCCTTCTGTTTGGTTTCCCTTCTGTTATGCAGACAAGGAAATACCTTGTCTGAAAGTTGCTCTAATACGTGTTCCCTTCATGAATCTTTGAATGACAGAAGGAGAATATCCCTGTATCACCTATAAGACCAAGGTGCACTGATCTTGAACAAAAAAATAAAAACTTCCTGTATTAAACCAGTGAGACTCAGAGCGCTTGTTACACCAGTTAACCTACTATAACTACCCATTTATAGGCAGTTCTAGATAAACTACAGATTATACCTATTCAGACCCTGTAAACTTAAAGCATCTCCTCCTGGTTGAAAAGCAGATCCCAAAGAAGAAAAGTGTAGATAGCCAAAGCATCACGCTCGATTTCCTTTACTGACTTCCCCAGTAACATATATCAGTCCTGCTCTCTTTTTTCCTCATGGAGAGTGGAATGAAAAAAATCCCCAGGGATACATGAGCAGCAAGGAATAAGCCTTTTCTTCTTCAGTTCTGGGAAACAAAATCAGGTTGGTCCTTAGGTGTCTGACCACAAGCCAACAACAGAAGGCTCAAAAGGCAGGTACCGTGACTGGCTGACCCTTGAGCCAGTCAGTCATAGTGAGGGAGATGTGGGTCATATAAGAACAGGGGCCACCACTGGAACCACATAGCTGCAGTGTGTGTTTGTGTGGAGCAGTTCCCCACAAAAGGAGGATGCTATTCTAGAACTGGAGGTAGGACTGAGAAGATCCTTCAGGGGATAGTCCCGTTTAGTCTTCCCTACTGGGCTGTGAGGCCCATAGAATTAGAGTGAGTCACGTATCTGTTTGTGTCTCCTACATCATACAGCATGCCAGGCACTTGGCCCATAATTTCCTGAGCAATTCATGGCCTTTGGAAAAGAGTATAGAAGGAAAGGTGCAACAAAACTGGGCTCAGAAAACCCTGGAACAGCCCGTTGGGAGATATCTGTGGGGACTAGAAAAGGGCTTGACCTCCCAAATACAGGCATGAAATAACTTTGGGCAGAGTTGCCTGGCAGTGGCCTCCATGAAGTCCAGGGTTCAGGAGACTGGCCCCAGTGAGCCCTGGTTAATAAAGGTGACCAGAGTGTCAGTCCCGCTGCTGCGACCAGATAATGGATGGAAGATGTGATGGGTCCTTACCAGACTAACTTATTTCCAGAATTCTCGCTAATCCTCACAGTTCTGTGAGGTGGGCACTGTTTCTTTATGGTTTTCCAGCATGAGGAAACTGAAACCTAGAGTATAAATTACTTGCCCAAGATGATATGGAAGCTGGATTGGAGCTGATCTGAGTCTCAACTGTACCCCAGTCACCTTTCATAAATGGGGCATAGCCAGGGCAGTGGGCCATAGACTTTCGTGAGGCCTCTCCCAGCAAAGTATCGTGGGAACAGACCGGTACAGACACAGGCAGGGAGAAGCTGCTGGGATTCCATAGTAGCACGGGACCACCACCCACCCCCTGCCCCAGCTTTCTTGGGACTGTTCTCACCTCAGCAAGGCTGGGTCTCTCCTATTCAGCCACATAGAAGAGTCTCTCATGGCTCAGTTTCTACTAGAAAATGAGTCCAAGGTCTTAAAACTCTAAAGGGCTGTAGTTTGAGAATGAAGGGTACCTTTCCTCAGAGGGGGCTGCCAACCCTTTGGTCACAGGTGGGACAA